ATATTGCTCATATAGGCGGCGAACTGGTTCCCCCATCGCTCATAGTCTGAGTCCGGGAAGAGTTCAGCCCAGGTCATCTTCATGATGGCAGTGGAGTCTTCCATCATAGCTTCAACAAGGGTCATCTTGTCGGTATCGGCTTGGGAGTTGAGCTGCTGATTTAGGGCCGCCTCCTGATCATTCAAGCGCTCTTTGAGCTTCTTGACCGTCTTTTGCAGACCTTCGGCCTTATGCTCTATATGCTTCAATGGCTGCAGCTGGGCCTGGAGGTCTTTTATCGCCTTCTCCAGCTCCAAGTTCTTCTTCCTGGCCGCCTCCAATTCAGTTTTGACTTGCAAGGTGGCAGTCGCCTGATAATACAGAATGTCAGTAGTCAAAATTTCATTTTGGGCAATCTGAAACATTGCCCGGTCACAATCAGAGGCGGCCATGGCCTTCCCAGCCTTTACCTCCTTGTTCTTTTCGCTGATAGGTCTGCAGAGACCATGTACACGAAGCAAGGCCTGCGAAACAACAAAATAGGCGTCAAAATCTCCAAAAAACAGATGGCAGACAATGCCAATTTTGCCCAATATCAAAGAAAATCCATTAAGTCTACCTCAGAGAGTAGACCCATGATAGAGTCCAAGTCAAGGGTTCTGACTCCCCTAACTGATTCCCTCTCATCCGAGGGAATGGCCTTGACCATAGACTTGGCCATCTGGACCAGGTCCGGCTCCTGAGGGGCGCTTGCAATAGAGAGCATGGAAAATTAATCAGATAAGGGGGGAAGCAACAGGCCGCCCGATCTGAGAAAGTTTAAATAGGCAAAGGAATTAAAGAAAACCGGTTATACCTCTTGGAGGCCGAGTGTCCCTGGGGACGGCTGTTTGCTTTGCCCCACTTTGGGGGGTTCGCGCCTGCTTATCAGCCGGCTGCTTCCTGGAAGAACCAGGCGTACTCCCAGCCGTCTGCTTACGAACCTTAGGGTTCGGCTGCTGGGAGGGAGAAGGTTTGGATACCCCACCCTGCGACAAGAAGTCAAAGTTATTAGTATGATCAAAAGGGGGAAAACAAAAAGAATGTGACAAGTTTTGAAAGCTCACCTTGGACACCTCCTTTGAGGGAGAGTCGGTGGAGGGCCGCTTCTGGCTAATAATAGCCGCACGCAGGAGGGCGGTCGCCTTCTTGGAAGCAGTAACTTTATCCATGGCTTCACCTGCAAACAATGCACCATAGAGTTAGTAAAAATACAAGCTAATAAAAAAATGCAAGAACACAAAAAGGGCCGACTACCTCTAGTGGCCCGTTCACTAAGGCCACAGGCGGCCAAGAATTACTCGTCATACAACCAACTAAACTTGGGTATGCAGTTTAGGGGGATTAACTCTCGTACCCCCGTAGCAGAGTTGGCCTTGATCTCTACTTTGAAGAGTCCTCGATCAAGGATCTCCTCCTTAGCTTGACGAGGAACAGGTGGCAAGCCAGAGCCGCCTACGAGGAGAGGTGGATCCCTGTTCCACCTGTTGTACCTCTTGTTTAAAAGTTTGTCGGGGTTGGAGACAATAAAGAAGGTGTTCCTCCAGTCCTTCCATTTGTTCTCCTCCCCCCTGGTCATCAAATAGCCCTTATGGCTGGAAATCTGGTACCAGCCAGTACCGCTTGCTTTGGGGGTTCGACTCAGGTAGTTCATGTGGGCGAACGCTTCAAAATTTGGTTCAACCCCATGCATTTCACAGCCGGCCACATAGCCTAGTATGTTGAACCACGAGTTTGGGGCCAACTTCCAGAGCCCCACCTGGTACCCATCCAGGATTTATTGAACAAACGGATGTAAGGGAATCTTAGTCCAGCCTTAATGGCCGCCTCATAGCAGCTAAAATAGGCGTCCCCATAGCTGGCCCCCTCAAGACAGACCACTGTATCTTCAACATCCGACACTGTTAGAAAATAATCAGGGCCCATTACATGGTCCGGCTGAAAGGTCCCTATTCTTTCGGCCATGGCTTTAATCCTGCCCTTTGGGACATGGCAATAGTAGGGGATGTTCAACTCCCTATGAGAAGCAGACGGCTCTGCCCAGCCGTCCCCCTTTTCAATAGCATGAGATGCTCTCGTCTCATGAAGACGAGAATGCCTCTATTCTGAATCTGGAGAATGCCGACTAGATGAGCTAGACTCAGAATCGCTTGAACTCCCAGAAGAGGCCGACTCCTCTTTCTCAGAAAGGATCGGCTCTTGTCCGGACATATCAATAAGGACAGGACTGGTCGCCTGAACCTCCTCAGATTCTCCCAATATTGAATCACTTGGAGTGCTTGGGGTACCAGGCGACCGGTCCGAAAGCTCGCTCATTTGAACATAGTACGAGGACCCTTCTGAATTTGTATATCTGGCCGTCCTCTTTGTTCTGGCCATAGTGTCTGCACAGACACAAAGATAGTCGGACTTGGAGCACAGGGCAAAGTTTGGTCCAGAAAGGGGCAGGCGGCACTCCTAGTCCTAGATTCAGCCGTCCCCGGTGACTGACTGATCACTAACCTAGGTCGTGCCGGGTGCTTTTGGGATACCATATTTTCAAAAGAAAAAGCAAAGAAATGAAAAAGTGCAAGAGCAAAACAGACGGTTACCTGAAGTCTGAAGTTTTCTGAGAAAGGAGATGGAAGTCTAAAGCAGTTGGTCTGGTGAAAGCAGCAGGTCACTACAAACAGTCGGCTAGTGTAAACAGTCAGTTGATTATCAGTCGTCCAAAAGTCTCAGAGCACAAGTTCAAAGGTTCTGAGTTCTCTTGCAAAGTTCACAAAATGCGAACAAGACTTTGGTCAAGCGCCCTTATATAGGGTTATCCTAGAATTTGAAGGGTCACACCCTAAATTCAAAAATAGGCGGAAAAAAAAAACAGACGGCCTATCCTAGGCCGACACCTGTCACAGGTGTCACGTGACGAGCCACGTGACCCCTGTGAGGTGCAAATGTTTAGGGATTTTTCCCCCGCCACGTGGACCAATCAGCACCTGCCACGTGTCAACCACGTGGACCAATCAGGGGTTGCCACGTGTCATACTCCAGGAGGTCCAACATGGACCAACAAAGCCACGCCACGTGGCACCTAGATTGCCAACCTGGAAAACGACCAACAAGGCCCGAATCCCAAGGCACGCCCAATCAGTCCTAGGTTTACCATTTAACCTATTATTGGGCACGTACTTTGAGGCTATAAATACAGGTAATTAGCCTCCCTTAAAGGAGATTGGACTAATTCAGAGATTACCCCACGTGCATACTAATTGCTAGACCTTACTTAGCATTAATTGCACTCCTTCCAAGGTTGCCCACCGCAACTAGCCTGATCACTTCTCCCTCCGGGGGAACCAGATCACCTTTACTTTCCGCACTTTTTACTCCTAAACACGTTCCAACTTGATCGTCGGAGGCGGAGCTCCCACCAACCGGAGTTTCTGTTGATTTGCAGGTACAGGCGCACGGATCCAGTCCCGGAATTGTAACTCTCCCGCAGGACATCAAAAAACCCCGAAACAGTAGGTATCACAAATTTTAATTTAATTATAATTAACGAACAATTTGTATTTCTTATCATAAATACTATCAAAATTTATCTTATAATGATAGGTATCAAACTTTATTATAAGCGTTTATCATTTAAATATTTTTTAGTATATTTTTTTTGGATTTCTTATATTCGTAGTATTGAATTAATAAATTTATCTTTTCCTATATTTTTACTTTATTTTTTTTCATTAAAATAATTTAATTCGTGGATTATAATCTACGTGGCATTAAAATTTTAGATATATCAAATCTAATTCGTTACTTTTATCTAGGTGGCAACATAATTTTTTAATTCAAAAATAAAATACAAATTTTTCTTCTTATTGGTCGAAATAAGTATATTTCTTACGTGGCGCTCCGAATGCTCTCCAAAAATGCTTACTTAATATATATATATATTAAATTACATTTTATAATTGTGTGTTTTGTATGTCAATTTAGTATGTAGTCACATTATCCTGAAATCTATTGTAAAACATTATCTTCTATGTAATTTATTATTATTATTATTATTATTATTATTATTATTTTACAACAAATATATCTTTTGTTAACTTCAAAATATAAAAAAAGGAGATGGCACAACTATATAAGTGTTTTTTTTCTTTTTCACATTTGACATCCTTTTAAAATTCAGGAAATAAAGGTTGATACTACAAGAAACATGAATGACTTGTTTTTGCCACGTCACTATTGCACCACGCTTATTTAATATTAAGCTATTGTGAAGGCTATAATAACGCTATATGGCACTTATATTTGTTATAATGTTAAGAAACAGACAAACAGTGGATTTCAATTTTTAACTTAAGCTTATTTTTCAAAATTTGAGAAAACCCATGTTAGTTTTACATATTAGGTAAGCCTCAAGGCATCTTAAATTATAATTTTCTTAACAAAATTTCTTATTATTCTATTCTTTATTAATACGAGTTTGAATAATTAAACCTCGTCACAAATGTCCCAATTAAAAGAGTAAACTACAATGATGGCATGATGCTTAATGCTTACCTCATCTCTAGTGTAACATTATCATTCAATTGAATAATGACACGAAATGGAGAAGATTATTAATTTTAGAAATTAAAATTCAAGATCCGAAAATTGGGCCATCCTCTAGCCCTAATGGCCAAGTGGCTCCTATTATCTTATCAATCGTGTATATTCAAACAAAAATTAAAAATAGAAAAACCCAAAAAATTAAAACAAAATTAATAATAATAAAAAGATTCATGCGTATCAGCAATCTGTTGCTTTAAAAAATCATGGTGGACCCCATATCTTGTCCAGATAAAACCCATCTCAACCGTACAAAATTTCCAACTTTTCATCACAACCGTCGATGTAGTCATCACCCACATAAAAGGCGGCTGATTCCTTCACTTAAAATTACAATAATACCCTTGACAAAACATCACTAGTTCACCATAAATAGCCTTACTTAAAAATAGCATTTTCGTTACCACTTGCTTTTCTCTCTTATCTCGTTTTTTAAGATTCTCCGAAAATATGATGCTCCGCTACACCGGTGGTGTGCTGTTTGTGGTACTCCTGCTTTCGAGCTCGGTCGTTCACAGCCGTTTGATTTTGGATGATCTTATTCGGCTGCCGTTCGATCATTCTTCGGTAGTTGATCGTGTTTTTGGTCGTGGAAATGATATTGATGATCATTCTGTTGGGACTAGATGGGCTGTTCTCATTGCTGGGTCTAATGGGTACTGGAATTACAGGCATCAGGTGAATTTTGTTGTTTTCAAAACTTATTTTGATTTATCTAGACTTGTCTTCCGTTATCTATATTTCATTATTAGTCTATAATTAAACTTATTTGAAATGATTATCATGGTAACCGTGACATATTTTAGTTGTGGATTAAACTTGAATATGTCTTATTCAAATTTATAAATAAGTATTTCAACTGATGAACTTATTTGCCTTAAAGAACAAGGAACCCTTAATGTTTGATTTTTTTTTTAAAGTTTTTTTTAGGGTTAGATTCTTACAAATTTACAAATCACTAGATGTGGGACATGGGAATCAAGGGATTCAAGGAGTTTGAAAGTACAAGTGTACAACTTTAAATTCACTAGTGACTAGTGACTAGTGAGTCACTTATGTTTGGTTAAATTGACACCTTGAACAAAACAATATGGTAATATGATTCGAGATCGACTTGTTACAATAAAATTGAGCAATATAACTTTCCTAACTACATACAAATTATTATTGATCTATTAATAAAGCTACGTCTGATACATTGATTATGATAAGTTTGGACAATGCAATAAATTAAACGGACAATTATTCTCTAGTACACTTAAATGTACCTTGATTTAAGTTTAGGTGTGTAAGTTACTTTTTTGTTTTTTTGTTTTTTGTTTTTTGTATGTAGTAGAGTTTTGGTCTTGTAGACGTATGTCATGATTTCCATATTTTCTTGATTTTTAAGTTTCAGCTTTCTTGACTATTTTCCATCAATAAAACGAACTTCATAAATGCACTTTAATTACAACATTACGATTGTAATTAAGGTTTACAACTTTTCTTGTTAATTTAATTATTGCTTATCATCCAAATTGTTGTGTGTGCACATTTGCACCCTTAGTATGCATGTGTTGAGTGTTGTTGCATGCATACAATTCGTTACCACTAGACTAAAACCTTATTGTTTTGTTATGTTTAGTAAATTATATTTGGGGTTGGTCAATGATACTGGAGCATGTACTTGTTTTGAGTGCTTTTTTATTTTCTATCGGGATTTTAACTGAGTTAATATTTTGAGGTAGGCCTTTTGTTAATAAGCTTTTTGCATGCTTTTCCATCCATATTAATTAATTTCTATTTAGGATCTTTTGATTAGTATTTCTTAGATATACCAAGGGTGTTTAAGTAATGTTGTCTAGACTTTTTGGAAGTTCTTATTGGCCATATATTTAGAGCACATCTTGACTCTAGAGTATCTCTTAGCTCAGCAAGTGGTCCTCGTAAGAACTTTTCTCTTAAGTCTTAATTGAAAATAATCTAATACTTTGTACTTAAAAGCTTTGTTAACATGTCATTTTCCTATATAACATATTTTTTCCTCTTTTCAACAAATAATATTATGTTGTTTATTAGTTGGGCGGTTGGGCCTAATTTAACCATTATGTGTCTACTTCTATATAATTTTTGAGCGCTTGAAAAAGACTATTGAGAATATTGAGTAGAGAGACATCAACAGCCAAATGATTCTAGTGTCTCTAAGGTGATGGGGAAATTTAATTTATAATCAAGAAAAAATTGGAAGAATATTAATATTCTAGTAATACTATAAATAGTGTTTGCTCATAGATCTTGAATAACGCCCCTTTAAATACTTACCAACTAAAATGATTAGCATTTCCTAGATTTACATTATTTTTTTAACGGTAAACTACGGAAAGGCCCTCCACCCTATCACAAGAATGGGGGGCTGTGAGGAATCGAACCCCCATCACTTGGGGGGAGATGGCATCTCCACATTCCTCTCCTAGATTTACATTATGAGCAGGTTAGTTTCACTATTTTGAGACTATTTGTCTTCATTAGCCTTGGAGGGGGACACAGGGGGGCCTTTTAAAATTATGTACCTTAATCTCTTGGATTTTTTTTATGCCTTTTGGATTTTTAAATCCATCCATAATCTCTTTATGTGAAACGCTTGGACTTGGGTATATCCTAATGTACATAATTTTTTTTATTTTTTTTGGTCGTTAAGGTGGGTGACGCAGTTAGACCTAACACCTCACAAGTCCCTGACGGACCCTTAGAGTCAGTTTGATCCAATGACCTTGAGGTTAAGAGATCAAACCTTAAACACTAGGTCAAGCTTAGCTTATAGATACTCCTTTAATTTTGGATTTATACATACAACCCCTAATGTTTTTAGCAGTTTTATATGTATTTAGCGCTAATTTTAATTTAGTTTCTATCGGGTAGTCCAATTAGTCAATATCGGACTACATAGAATTCCTTTTTTTTTTTTTTTTTTTTTTTTTTTTTTTTTTTTTTTTTTTTTTTTGGGTGAAAACATAGCATTCCATTGGTAGTGTGAAAAGAGGGTTGTTAAAGAAATTTGAAACCTTAAAAGTTTTGGTTCCAGTAGCCTTGTTCAACTTGGAACTTTGTTTAACTGCAATATGCTAGCCTTAGATGATTTAGCAAATTCTTCAGTTCCATATCTTTTTTAATGCCCCTAAAGGTTGCTTAACCTTTTATTTATATGTTTAATGGCAATCAGCAAGATCTTACATTCGAGTTAATGTCTTCTACAGTCCGATGTGTGTCATGCTTACCAAGTGCTGAAGAAAGGAGGTTTAAAGGATGAAAATATCATTGTGTTCATGTACGACGACATTGCTTATGACATAGAGAACCCAAGACCAGGGGTTGTCATTAATAGCCCGTATGGACATGATGTTTATGCAGGAGTTCCAAAGGTTTGATCTGAAGTTCATCAAACTTAAGATAATTTCCTGTTGATTGATCTGTCAATAATGTGCATTTCAATCATCTAATTGTGCTTATTGTGGCAGGATTATACCGGGGAAGACGTGACTGTAAACAACTTTTTAGCAGCTGTACTTGGTAACAAAACAGCCATTACTGGTGGTAGTGGAAAGGTGGTTGATAGTGGACCTAACGATCACATCTTCATCTTTTACACGGACCATGGTGGTCCTGGGGTGCTCGGTTAGTGCTTCTATCTTCATCATAATATCTATTAATGTTTGTGCTTATGGACTCATGTATGAAACTCTTAGGCGATAACTCAATCTAAGATTGCCTTGTAACGAGGCTGAAATCCAAGTTTTCTTGGATTGTTTTTCCCCTGATACTTGGAATATTGGAGTTCAGAAGGCTTCAAAATTAGTTTATAAACTGGTAGGTTCTAATAGATAATGGATGTAAGTTGAACAATAATCTTTGTTTCATTAATCATAACACTTACAATTCACATGATTAAGAGAATGCTAATCCCAATTTTGTTCTGATCTTAGAAAGTAATGATTATTTTCATCTTCTACAAGTGATGAGTCTTACTTGATATTCATAAAATCACCTCTTGAAAATTAATGATAAACGTGCCAAAACCTGGAAGAGTCATACTGATCTCACTCTGATGTTTTATCATTCTGATGATGGCTTTCTCTGAAATGCCTAATTCAACCTTATATATACAACACTCGTATTGTCAGTATGGTTCTCAGTTCTTTATGTTTTATCAGGTATGCCTACGTATCCAAACCTCTATGCCGATGAGCTCATAGACACCCTAAAGAAAAAACATGCCTGCGGAACCTATAAAAGCTTGGTAAGTAACATAGTTGATTTGGCATTATTCTGTTGTCTGCTGTAGCATAGTTGATTCTTTGGCTTCTTTATCTTTCTAATATATGTCTTCCATCTTAGTTTATCATGTTCATCAGTGTATATTAATGATTTTTGCCTCTGAAATGTCAGGTTTTTTATGTAGAAGCCTGTGAATCTGGGAGCATCTTTGAGGGTCTTCTTCCTGAAGGACTTGATATATATGCTACCACTGCCTCAAATTCTGTAGAGAGTAGCTGGGGAACTTACTGTCCCGATCAAGATCCTACTGTTCCTCTGGAATATGACACATGTCTCGGTGATTTGTACAGTGTGTCTTGGATTGAAGACAGGTATGGCGTATGTCTACAATCTGTTTCTTGATATCTTTATTTTTGTACATACTCTGGGTTTTCGAAAGTATTGTACTCCCACCGTCCCTTTAAGAAGCATGTATCTGCTTTTTTTTTTCAAGCAGACTGCAGAGATTGGAAATATAAAAACATTAAAGTGGATTGTTTGCATGTTTTCAATCTCTAGGTTGCTGTTGTTAGAGTTAGTTTTCTTTTTCTCCATGCATATTTTCCCTTAGTAGTGGTAGTAAATCAAGATTACTAATGGATGATATATTCGAAACAGTGAACGACACAACTTGTTGACAGAATCTTTGAAGCAGCAGTACGAACTGGTAAGAATGTTTAGATATTATCAGCACTCATCTATACTTTGATCTAAAAATTCAGACTGGTCTAAGTTTTGTGTTCTATTCCTTTTGAGATGATTGTTGTTGAAATTTTATACTAGAAGAGTAGAAGTTAAGAATGGTTGAATTCATTGTGGCTATTGTAGGTTAAGACGAGGACAGCAACAAGCCCTTTTTACGGTTCACATGTCATGCAGTTTGGTGATACAGAGCTAAAGCAGGACTTGCTTTACTTGTATATGGGTACAAATCCTGCTAATGAAAATTTTACATATGTGGATGATAACTCGTTGCATCCTTCGTCTTCTAAGTCTGTCAATCAGCGCGATGCTGATCTCATCCATTTCTGGAACAAGGTCTTGGTCCTTTACTTTATTACTTCCCAACTCTTTACATGAATCACAGTGCTATTAGCTTCTTAATACAACTATACTCTCACCTTATGAATGATATTTTACCTTATCTTTAATTTTCCTCAGTTCCGCAATGCTCCTGAAGGATCTCCGAGAAAGTTTCAAGCACAAAAGCAATTTACGGAAGTTATGTCACACAGAGTTCATCTTGATGACAGCATCAAACTCGTTGGCAAGCTTTTATTTGGAATTGAAAAGGGTTTATATGTACTGCAGACTGTCCGACCTACAGGACAACCCCTTGTCGATGACTGGAACTGCCTTAAGACAATGGTAACACTATCATATTTCATGCATTGTAATTAGAATAATTATTAATGAAGTGAAGAAATCCCAATGAAAATCCTTAACTTTTAACAATCTTTTAATGCAGGTAAGGACCTTTGAGAAGCATTGTGGATCACTATCTCAATACGGAATGAAGCACATGCGTTCCATTGCAAACATCTGCAATGCCGGGATCACAGCTGATCAGATGGCTGAGGCTTCAGCACAGGCTTGTCCAAACTTTCCTTCCGGTCCTTGGAGCTCTGTGCACAGGGGATTTAGTGCCTGATATGATGCTGTGTAGTACTTGGTAAATAATTTTGTGAAATTGGTGCTCAATTCTATGTTACGCGGTTTATGCTTTCTTCTAAGGCCCTGGAGCTAGTCCTTGTAAATATGGCTCCCTTTAAGTAAGATGCATATTGAATAGCCCATGTAACAAATTTTATGATGCATATATTCAATTAATGCAAGAGTATTGTAGTAAACTCCTTGGATGCCTTCTAGCACCTGCTTTTCTTTCTTTCTTCGGGGCTTAATGGGTAAGTCACCACTAACAGACAATGCAGCAAAAACACGATTAATACTATCTTAAGCATTAGGGACAAAATTAGGATTAAACATATAAGGACAATTAGCAGCTTTGTCGCGTTGGTGACATGGATACCAACATAAGCACAAGAATTGGAAGAGGGCCGGGGTTGAGCATAAAATGCCACTAGAGTTACTTCCTGCTATCACAATCACAATCACAATCATGATGCAAAGCAAACAGAGTATATTCAACTAAATCATGTTGAGTCACAGGACATTGAATAGCAGCCAAAGAATCAGCAATCACTTTAATTTCAAGCAAATAAGCATCCTTATAGATTATTGTGATTAAATTTGTTTAATATGAGTGAACCTGCTTTTCAATTCCATAGAATGAGCGATGTTTGCTTGCGTAAAACAACTCTATCTTAAGTCTACTCCAAACATTAGCAGAGGAACATAAATTTTGAACATCAGTTACAACTTCACGAGGTAAGGTGGCATACAACCAAGAGTCCAAGAGCGAACACATTGATCCATCCTTAAATACTCGTAAATTTAGGAGTGAGTTGTTTATAGCTTTGTCGTAGTTCTTTGTGAACTCTTAACTAGGACAAAGCAAACTGAAGAACAGAATCAAAATTGGCAACATACTATGTCAAGCAAGTCTAACTGTCTAAGCAACAAGACAATATATTGATTCAAACTTTTGGACTCTCAATTAGTTATGGAAGCAACTAAAAGGCAACTCATCTCGATTGCAAAGCCTTGTACAATGATGCTTAAGTAATCAGGGTGATGATAGGCCAGAGATAACGATTATAAGATAACTTCAAAAATAACAACTAGTTAGTGTCTATCGGGCCTCTTGGTTACCATCTTGTTCATCGCTTAAATTAACACCCTTAGTAAAATAGGAATTGTCACGTTGTGCCTCGTGTCAAACTCACGCGCATTATAGTCATCTGTATTAGGGTGGCTAAGCCTAATCCATAGCCAACCCGTCCTTTACTTGTCATGTCATAGATTTAAGCATGCCGGAGCCGGACTAAGCACTCCCAATAGCCAATGTGCTATGTGGTGCACTATATACATGCATTGTACTTGTATCCTATGTGCTTTCTTCATATTGGACCGCCATAATTCAGTGTCATCATTACTCACAAAAATTAAACAAAACTTTATTTTACCCTTTAAGAAAGTGTCATATATTTAGTTTGTGAACATAAAATTATCGTACATATCACCAAAGAGAAAATTAAAGACCATCGTAGGTATCACCATTAATGAGATTAAGTGAAAGTCTATCTAGAATGTACTGCATAATCCATATAATGAGCCAAGTTAGTTGTGAACATTTATGTTTCTTTTAATTAATCTACTAGACTTTTTTTGCATAGTTCCAACGACTATTCTTACTAAAAAAATTTGAAAGATACATGCACATGACATGTCTTGAAATTCTTGTCTTCCTGTTGAAGTTGTTGGTTGTTAGTTGATAGTTGTGTGAGGGAAGAATCTGTCATTTTGCAGATTATTAAGTCTCTTATATCCTCATTTTGATAAGAGGCTGTGGATAAGAATCATAAGATATATACTACTGCTATAGGTTATCAATTAACTGGATTTTGTATGCTAATTTAATTAATTTCGTCTTTTCGGATAAACTATCTATTTTAATTACTTGAGCTGTCTTTGATAACGACAGATGAAAAAAGGTTAAAAATTTTGACCATAAATTATCATTTATTCATCTACGAAATATTTAAAAAAATACGGCTAAAAGGATTTTATTAGAAGCGTCATCTCAATTTCAATACATTAATTTTTTTAAATATTACTCGCTCATATCAATTTATAACTAAAGGTATTTATAGCCAAATTAGTACATTCGAGAGAATGGCTGGTCCATGCAACCATTATGAAATGGTCCGCTGCATTAGCCACCAATTATCAGTAAGTAGATGGCTTCTTGGCTAGTATGGCTATCCAAAATGAGAGAGTGTTGTATACATGTATCCGGGTGCACGGTGCACTCATGAGTATTTTGTTCTCATTTTGATGATTGTTATTCTTTTAATCATCAAATGAAAAACAAAAACTAACTTTAGGTGCACAGTGCACCCCGACATATATATATAACAATTTACAACCCAAAATGGCAAAAACCCACACCATCCTTTATATGTAAAAGTGCGTATGGTGTTTAGCTTTCATTTGACATGAAACATCTTAGTCCTCTAACACTTTGATTATGTGACTTTGTGTCAATTATTTAAATATTTAAGTATTTTAAACGAAGTAATTTGAAATTACGTATGATCCTTTATCTTAGCAACAAATAACATTAAAACTCATTTTGTTTAAATATTTGCGTAATAAATGTTACAGTACTACTCGTAGTTAATACTGTATAAGTCTTGTTTGGTTGACAATGTAATACGGGGGAATTGAAAATTCATGGGATATAATAAATTAAAAAAAAAAAAAATTGTTGAGAAAACTTGTTTAATTGATATACAAATAAAAAAAAATGGAGGAATTGAAAAATCATAAAAATTTTAACTTTTCACAAAACGTGAGAAGGTAATTACCATGCTTTTCTTAGACGATTAAAGTTTGTGTGATTTATAAACTCCTACATTGCCAACCAAATAAGTTTAGAAAATTCCTATAAATTTCATTAGAAAAATAACTTCCAATGAAATACAACTTTTTATACAAACTTCAAGTCGTCAAGAAGTCAACCAAACGAGTCCATAGAGTAAATGAAAATAAATTGGAAGGTTGTTGATTGTGACCAGCTACCTACAATCCCTAGCGTGTACGCAAACGGCAGGTTCCATTAGCCAATTTGGAATCGAAAAGTTGCCATACTGTACTGACGTACTGTTCTCAATTAGTTCTATTGTGGCCTTGAATTTCATTAGATAGTGATATATTGTCGTCGTTTGGATCCTCCTGGTTTGCTCCATCATGTATCTACTCTAAAAGTGTTGATTAGAAGCATCAATTTGGATAATTGGGTTGAATTATGTTAAATCAGACCGGAATGGGTACATGTCAAGTTTGAATAGTGTTAATTATTGTGTATTTCTGTTTATATAAGTTACTTTCTCTGTTTTTAAATATTTGCTCCATTTCTCCATGTGCGGAGTTTTAAGACAAATTGGAAAAAGTAATAAAATATGAAGGTAGTGGGGTAGGTGGATGAATAAAGAATTATAGAAAGCAAAAGTAGTTGAGAGAATTGGAGGAGAGAGAATATGAAATTAAAAAAATATGATTTGTGTTGAGTCCACTAGTTGAGATAAATGAATTAAATATTGTAAAAAAATTTCAAATAAGGAAATGAAGCAAGTATTTAAAAACGACCAAAAATAGAAAGCGGGACAAGTATTTAAAAATGGAGGGAGTAAATACAGTATGGCTTAAATTACTTTCGGGCTAGATTGGATAAGGTCGAATCTGATTTTGACACCTCTAATATTAATATCACGGTTGCCAAATCTGAAAAAAGAGTGCAATTGATTTTTATTTATTTTTATTTTTATTTTTATTCGTACAAGTACCTCAACTAATATAACTCATCTCTTGAGATAATAAGTTATCCTTTTTATCGACAACTTTTTATTGTAAATTTTTTTTTTTTTAGACAACTATTTGTAAACTCCAAAGTAGGGTTGTTGATTGTCTTGCTATTAGAGGAATTGAACAAGTGAATACAAATACTTGAACACGTGTGCAATTTAGAGATGGTGCCTTTTAATTTCTAACTCAAATTTAGGCACATAGCCACATACCTTCACCGATCTTGAATATTACAACCTGCACATGTCTTCTCTTTCTCTCTGAGATAATAGAATGGTGTGGCAGCCACACAAAAAACGTGTTGTATGTGTTATGTCTATATACTGTACATCATATGATCGACGAAATAATTTGAAATTTTTATTAACCAGTACGAGTAAAAAATATACGGAGTACAAAAAAAATATTGATTTTTTTCTGACCTTTAACGAGGTTTAACGTACTATAACAAATATGAATAATCTTATAAACAAACCTAAACGAGATGTACGCGAAAATTATCAAGTCGAACATAATATTATTAGAGCTTTGCTTGTTCATTTAACAAACTAAACATTTTTGTTCAAGATTGTTTATTAACTTTACAAACGAGTTGTGATCACACTTTGGATGAATAGTTCGTGAACGTTCGGCTCATTTACACTAGAGGTGATAATCAATATATATAATAGTCAAACCAACTAGCCCGATTCAACTCGGCTCGAAAAAACTTGACAAACGAGTTTTGATCACGCTTTGGATAAATAGTTCATGAACGTTCGGCTCATTTACACTAGAGGTGATAACTAATATAATGGTCGGATCCATTAGCCCGATCCGACTCGGCTCGAAAACAGTATAGATTTGAACAAGTATAAATACATTTTTTTAGTTCAAAATCCGAGAACAACCCAAAAAAACCGCCCAATAACCTGACAATGTTTTACAGGCTTGGGCACAATAGATTATGCATAATCACGATTCGACTCGATTTTTTATCACCTCTAATAGTCTAATTTGCTAATTTACATTCCTATGCTCTATGCAGATGAAGCCCATTTCGACCGTACAAATTTCTATCGCAGTTGATTCTTCAATTAAAATTACTTTAATACCCCTGAAAACAATCACTAGCTCATTTACTACAAATACCCAACTAAAAACAGCATTTGCGGTATCATTTCTCTTTCTGACTTTATAAGAGTTGCCTTAAAAGGTAATGATCCGCTACACCAGTGGTGTATGGTGGTACTCCTGCTTTCGAGCTCGGTCGATCACAGCCGTCTGATTTAGGATGATCTTATTCGGCTGCCGTCCGATCGTATCATTCTTCGATAGTTGATCATGTTTTTGGTCGTAGAAATGATGTTGATGATGATTGTGTTGGGACTAGATGGGCTGTTCCGTTCTCACTGCCTGGTCTTATGGATACTGCCGTACTGGAATTACAGGCATCAGGTAATTTTTTGTCGTTTCCAAAACTTATTTTGATTTGTCTAAACTTGTTAACCATTATTTATACATACAAAGTAATTATTTATAATAATTTCCTAATAATCATAGTTGTAGATTAGACTTGAATATGAGTTGTTAAAATTATAGAGCATACGCAATATGTGCACAATATGCTTGGGATTTTGAAGTAAATTATAAGCTTTTAATAAATATAAATAAGTTTTTAGTAAACTACTTGAAGTAAAGGACAATTTTGCAATGGTTACACTAATTTTGTAGCCATTTTAACTTTATAATCATAATCATGACCATTCATTTTTAATACTAAATCCACACCATTTACTAAGTTGACCAAAAAAATTAAGTTGACCATAAAAATTAAGGTACAATATTCAAAATATCTAACGGTCAACTTATTAGAGTTATAAATGAGTTGAACTAAACAAGAACTTAAAGGGGACATACGGGTACCTTATGAAATTATGGACCTTAATGTCTTGGATTTTGGATATCTAACTACATCAATAACCTATAAATATGAAATAATTAGACTTTAGAATATCCTTGTTTAAATTTTTTTTTTTTTTTTTTTTTTTTGGTTTGTTTGGGGTAGTTAAGGTAGTTGACTTAGTTATTAGACCTGACTCGCTCCTCCAAGTTCGATCCCCAAACCAAACCCTTGGAGGGGAGGGATGACTATGTATTCTTCTCCGTCAAAGAGCTCTTAGAGGGATGATTCTGATCCAATGACCTTGAAGTCAAGAGGCCAAACCTTAAACACTAGGTCAAGATTAGCTTCTGGTACTGCTTTTGGGTTAATGTATACAACCACTAATATTTTAGCAGTTTTATACTATGTATGTATGTAGTGCTAATTTATTAATTGTTTGTAATGAGTAGTCCAGTATTGGACTACATAGCATTATTCCATTATTAATTAGTAGTGTGAAAAAGAGAATTATCCATGTAGCTAGGTGTTAGAGGAATTTGAAACCTTGAAGTTTTTGGTTTCAGTAGGCTTTGCCAATTGAACTCCCATCAAAAGTTTGCATTTTCTCGAGGCTCCAATGCATATTGTATAAGCCCCTGAAATTTTTTACAATAACAAAAGAGTAATGCAATGCTCAACTTGGAACTTTGTAAAACTACAATATGCTAGCCTTAGTTTCTTTAATGCTCCTATTTATAGTTTGCTCAACCCTATTTTTATTATATGCTCAGTTTGATCTTACATTCGTTTCGATGTCCTATACAGTCCGATGTTTGTCATGCTTACCAAGTGCTTGTTGTGGTAGGATTATACTGGGGAAGACGTGATTGTGAACAATTTTTAAGCAGCTACACTCGGTCCGAAACTTCTAGTGTAGTCGTCGGCTACTATCCATTATATATTAACTTGTTAAAATCCATATCTTTGATGTGTCATGTGTTTACATAAATCTTAGCCATGCATCCATCTATTAATTTTTAAAAAATGATAAATCTTGCTTTTATTTATAATTCAATAAAATCATGTCTGTTTTAGGGTTTATATTACAAAAATGATCATTACTAAAATTTTGATTAGTAATATAATTTATTTATTTTTGTAATAATCATTAGTAATATAATTTTTTTTAATATTAGCCTTTAATTCAACTTTATTGAATAAAATGTTTTGTTTTATAGTAATTGTCAGATAATATAAACTCCTTCATTAGAGTGATTTCCATTAATCAATATTTATATGAGAGTCATAATCATGCTAGATAACTAACAAGATATGTAAAGATATCATAAAGATATTCTTCTACAAGATATATCCTAAACCTAGGATGAGAATATTTTATGAATATTCTCTATTAGTAATGATGATTTTGGTGTGTTTGATGCGGTTTTTTTTTTTTTTCACATGAGGTTAAATAACAAAATAAGTAAAACTAAACAATATTAAAGGACGATAAGCTATAATTTGCCATGGTAGCGGGGAGATGAGCCTTGTCCACTTGGTCTCTCTGAAACTTGTGGATGCTACACCTTTGCGGAGTATTTTTTATCACCTCTATTATAAAACCATAATAAATTTTTGGGTATTTTCATTTTTACCACCTTCAAATAATGACTTTGTCGAATTTACCACCTCCAAAAAAAAACATTTACTTTACCACCTCATAAAAAAATTAAACATCAGTTTTACCACCTCATCTGAGCTCAGGTGACGGAAAACGCTTGTGGGGCCCAGTTAACTGTCACTTCCCTCCAATTTAATTCTTTTAAAATCGATTTCCCTCTGTCTCCTCCTTTTCTCACCTTCCACCTTCCATAATCAATGTCTCACCAAATTTCTCACTTCCTCATCAATTTTCGTCTCTCTTTCCTTTGATTTTTCTTGATTCTCACTGTAACTGCTTCTCTCTCCTTTGAATTTTCTCTTTCTCTCTGTAAAAACTGAAACCCTAGATCAATTTGGGTGGTTGAAATCGAGCTGGAACCACAAAATTGCAACACATCAGCTTCTCTTGTCATCTTCCACAGGGTGAGGGGACCAAAAGCTTGGTAATTTGCTGACAGAAATCGAGATTCCTGACTACAAGAGGTACTTTAAACCCTTTATTAGTACATTTCGTTGGATTTATGGTTGTCAATTGGGGTAAAGTATGCCTTTTGGGGGAATCTGTGAATTAAAGTATTATAAACCCTAATTATGCGAATCTTTGACTAAATTAGAGTGTGCATTTGTTAAATAATTAGTTAATTAGATGTACTTGGTTACTGTTAATTTAGTGCATAGTCAATGTGAATTGCTTTTACTTGCTGTAATTGGTGAATTGGTTTTTGTTGTTTACTGTAATTACTGAAATTGGTTATTGTTGTGTGTGCTTTTGTTGGTGTTGTTACAGAATGGACACAGTGAACTTAAAAATTACAGTAGGGGGTGCCTTTATACCTTCTTTAGCTGGTAAAAATAGGAGGGTGTTAACTTGGGATGGTGGGTGGGTTTATTGGATGAGAAAGGTGGAAAAAAATAAGATAGATGTACACTTTTTGAGGCAAGCAGCTATACATGGGTTTGTGTATGTGAATGTGAAGGTTCCTAGGGGGTTTAGTTGCTTGCATAATGGACAAAAGGGATGATCCTGAGTTGTATGTGCACCCACATTACTATAGGGTGACATACTTGGCTGCATATGAGAACCCAATACAGCCAATGCCTGGCCCTAAGAATTGGGAAAAGGTCAAGCTCAGACAGCCTTTGCCACCTATGCTGAAAGTGCAGCCAGGAAGACCTAAGGCAAATAAGAGAAAGCTTGAACCAGGGGAGGGCACTTCTGCAGCACCTGAGGGCAAGAAGCCAAAGGTGATGAAACAATGCAAGAATTGTGGTGGGTTTGGCCACTTTGCCAAAACATGCAAGGCTGAAGCAGCACCAGAACAGCCTAACCCACCTGCAACAAATCCAAAGGGTGGGAGGCCACAGATGCAGACTCCTTGGATTAAGGAACAGAGAAAGAAAAGTGAAGAGAAAGCAGCAAGACATGTATTTTGTGTATTTTGTGACTTGAGTGTATTTAGTGGCTTTGTTTCTGAGTCTTGTCATACTGTGATTGCAGGCTGCACTGAAGTTGCCACAATATCAGCCTCCAACAACAGCACAGGCTGGGTCAAGTAATGTTGCACCTGCAACTGCTGTGTCAAGCCAGCCTGCAACAAGAACAGAGCCTTTGCCAACTCAGCCTGTTACCAGGAGCAACAGGAGCCTGAGTCAGCCCACAAGAGTGCCAACAACTACTCCTCCCAAAGTCAAAATACAGACCAGGTCCAAGCTTCATGTAATGACAAGCAAGAAGGACAAGGATCTCAATCAACTTTGACCCTAGGTCTACTCATTAGTATTTTGTAATAGACAACCAAGTTTATTTGGTAGTTGAACAATGATAGTTGAACAATGATTTTGCACAAAGGTGCCTTAACTTTTGTCTCAGCCAATGTAAAACAATTTCAAACATTGTGTTGCAAGTACTAATACGAATTGTGATATGTTTCTACCAAAAAGTTCCATTTCTCATTGATGTTGTTAAAAGTAGTACAAGAAATGTCATCCCAACATCCACACATAATAATTCAACAAAACACAACATAAGTTGGGGATTTTTTTTGTTTCTAAGCATTCCTAAATGAACCTAAGATCTAAAATACATAGCCAGTACCAAACCAAAACAACAAAACACAACAATAGCATGTACTGTGAGCATTTTCTTTGTTGTTGCATTGCTGCCATGCACTTCCTTGATCATCTTCTTCCTGTCTGAGCTAAGAGCTTTGCATTTCATCTTCAAGCTGTCAATCTCATTGAGCAAGCACCTCTTTTGTCCACTAACATCATCAACTTCCCTCTTCATGTCATTCAGCTCTCCCTTCATTAGTTTCTTGTCCAGCAGCAAGTTGTTAATCACCTCTGTTTGCCAAGGTGTTCCATCTGGTTGATCCACCCACTCAAAAGCTTTACACCCCCTTGACTCAGTCACAGGATCATAGAATTTGCAGGTCCTAAACTTGCGTCCTGGGTTCTCCCTAGTCCAAGCAGTCAGCCTAGACATTGGAACTCCACATTGGCATTTTTTCTCCTTTGAGGGTGACATGCTAACTGAAGACATTCCCTTCTGAAATTCAGTAAGAACAAGAATGAAATTAATTGTATTTGAACACAATCACCATAATATAACCCTAATTTCAGTAGCCAATTCACATAACAAAAACCCCCAATCTAATTTAATCTTACATGAAACCTAAGTATTTTAATTCAAATTGGGGTTTAATTGACCTCACAAAACGCCCAATTTCAATTACTCTTACCAAATGCAACATAATCACGCAACGAATTGCCAAAAAATTACAACAGAAATCACGAAAATTGCTAGAGAATTAACGACAATGGCTTACCTATTTGATGCTTGTTGTCGAGGAGTTCAATTGATTGTTTGATAATTAGAGGGTTTGGGATTGTTAAGGTTGCCCAAAAATACTGATTTGTGAAGAAAATCGCAAAAATTAATCTCCAATCTGCAAGAATTTGGTGTACAAATGAAGAACTAGGTTTAAATAAAAGGGAAATCGAGAGAAATTTGGGAAAAAATCAAAAACTAGCCGTTATGCTGGGCCCCACAAGCGTTTTCCGTCACCTGAGTTCAGATGAGGTGGTAAAACTGATGTTTAATTTTTTTATGAGGTGGTAAAGTAAATGTTTTTTTTTTGGAGGTGGTAAATTCGACAAAGTCATTATTTGAAGGTGGTAAAAATGAAAAAACCCTAAATTTTTAGATAAAAATTGATTTGGGTGGCTTAGATTGATCATTCACATATTAACGATCAAGATTCAATTTGTTAAATTAGTACAGTCGACCGTATCCGACGACTACACCAGAAATTTTGTACCCGGTAACAAATGGTGGCAGTAGAAAGGCGTCGTGGTGAATGGAGAATTTCATGATCACATCTTCATCTTTTACCAGACCATGGTGGTCTTGGAGTGCTCGGTTAGTAATAACTAACTAACTTTCCTGCAGCATTTTCTTTCTTTCATCATAACTGTTATTATTGTTAGTGTGTGTTTTTTATACATGGACTCACTTATGAAACTCTAAGGCAATAACTCAATCTAAGCTTGCTTGTAAGAGGCTAAACCTCGATGTTGTTTTTCCCTTGATAGTTTGAATATTATTGGAGCCTCAAGACGTTTTCTCAAATAGTTTAAAAAATTGTTGGGTTCTAATAGATAATGCAAGTAAGTTGAACTCTAATTTCACTCTCTTTCACATTAATTCCTATCCAATCCTATGTTTAAACTTTTCATTACACTAATAAATCACATGATTAATTAAAAGAAAGCTAATTCTGATGATGAATTTCTCTTTGATATGCTGAATTTAACATTTGTACTTTCGATATGGCTCTCAATTCTTTATGCTTCTACTCCATATCAGGTATGCCTTCTTATCCGTACTTGTATGCCAATGAGATCATATATACCTTGAAGAATAAACATGCCTCAGGAACCTATTAAAGCCGATATGATTGGGATTATTTTGTTAATCATTAGCGTTATTTTTCTTTTTCTCCAAATAATTACTAATGTTTGTTGTTCAGAAAGTGAAAGACACAATCTGCTGACAGAATCTTCGAAGGAGCAGTATGAATTGGTAAGAGCTTTTGAATATTTTGAGCACTCATCCATGCTAAAAGTTGATCTAATAATCTATATTCAGATTTTGCATTCTATTCCCCTACAAAGAATTGAAATTTTTCTTGAAGAATTTTCGTTTAGAAGTTAAGATTCAAGAATGGTTGTGTCATTCTGGTTAAGAAGAGGACAGCAATCACAGCAGCAAACCCTTTTTGCGGCACAAATGTCAAACAGTATGTTGATACAGAGCTAAAGCAGGACAATCTTTAGTTGTACAATTCTGCTAATGAAAATTATATACATGTGGATGGTAATTCATTGCAAATCTCATCCATTTTTGGAACAAGGTCTTTGTCCTCTATTCTATTACACCCTAACTATTTGCTTAAATCACAGTATTATTAGCTTCTTGATGCAACAATACTCTGAACTTACAAACGACGATGTCTTACAATATCTTTAACTTTCTATAGTTCCGTAAAGCTCCTGAAGGATCTCCAAGAAAGATACAAGCGCAATAGCAATTTATGGAAGTAATGTCATACATAGTACATTTAGATGACAACATCAAACTCGTTGGTTAGCCTTTATTTGGAATAGCAAAATGTACTGCAGAATGTGCCTACAGGCCAACCCCGCGTTAAAAGAAATTGTGTTTGAAACTGAAGAAATTCCAATGAAAATCCTAAAATGTTAACACTCTTTTTATGCAGGTAAGTGCATCTAAGAAGCATTGCTGATCTCTATCTCAGTAACACATGCGTTTCATTGCAAATAAACATCTGCAATGCCGGGATCACAGGTGGTCAGATGGCTGAGGCTTCAGAACAGGCTTTTCCGAACTTTCCTTCCAGCTCCTGGAGCTTTCTACATTGAGAACTTAGCCCCTTAAATGATGTGTAGTTCAATTCGTATTTATTTTGTGAAATTTAGGCTCATTTCTATATTACGCGGTTGATGTTTCTCTAAGATCCTGCAGTCCTTGTAAGTATGGCTCCCCTGTAACTCTGTAAGTAAGATGCATGCATATTGAATAGCCCATGTAACAAATTTAATGATGCATGTATTCAACTAATGCAAGATAAGAGTAATATAGTCAAAGCCTTGGATGCTTTCTAATATTTGTTTTTCTTTATCTTTCTTTGAGGGTTGATGAGATTCCATAGGTGCTTCAAATTAATTTGAGGGAGATCAATTATTTTCTTACATGACCAAAAAGCTTGCTCTAAAATGACCCATATGATTTATATTCTTCCTTTATTCCCCCATTTTCTCTCTACGACGGAATACGATAATCATACATCGAGACAACTCTCAAAGCACGTGGTATGATTCACAAAGCATGAATTATTGTATGAATAGTAATAATCTATTTTACGATGTACTACTATTTTCTTTAAATACAACACTTTTCATTACATGTTTGGTAATACATTATTTCAATTAATAAAATATTTTAATACTAATACGTTAAAACTATATTAATTGGATATTAATAAAGTATAAACCGAGATGAAACTAACATAATCTCATATGACAATATTTTTCCTTAATTGTAAATTACTCCGTAACAATCAAAGTAGGAAAAATTAATAATTTGAATGTAAAAGTCAAAGTGTTGCAATTAAAAGAAAACGGAGGAAGTATTAAAATCATTATTCATGGTGTAGCATTATAGTCTTTTCAACTTTTATTTATTTATTAATTAAATTTATACTAGCTGAAAGGGATTTTTCTTCTCATTATTAACTTATGCTTATCTTTGTTGAATAAAACAAACTTATATTAAACTAATTGTTAGATTTTTTTTTTATTTTTTTTTTTTAAGTTCATTATATTTACAAAATATATTATTTTGAAATCATATCAATCAATCAATCATATCGTTTGCAATTTCCTTATTTGTTTTATTAATAAACATGAAAGGCCAAAAATAGTAACGATACCACAAAATAATTTTATTTTGAAAAAGCCAAAAAAAATCCAACCAATCAGAAACATTAGCTTAGCCGTTACACATAAAAAATTCTCTAAAGTTAGAGGTGGACCCAACAGCATAAGACAAATCTGAGCCGTCAATTCATCATCACCCACCTTAATCACAACAATCAACGTTCCACAATTTACCACGTCATACACCCAAATAAAATATCCATATTTTTCCAACAACAAAATCCTCTATATTACACACCAAAATCAAATATCATAATCATATCAAAAATCTGACATTATTTTGATATTTTCTCTCTCCTTTTCTTTTCACTTTAATTTTTACCAAAACCTTTGTCGCCGGAGATAATGAACCGCTGCATCGCCGGCGTACCATTAATCGTACTCTTGCTTTTGATTACAGTCGTTGAGAGCCGTCAGATTTCTGACGAGTTTATTCGATTGCCGTCTGATCGTTTTTCATTACTTGATCATGCTTTTCCTCAAATTGACGCCGTTGATGATGATTCTGTTGGAACTAGATGGGCGATTCTGATTGCTGGGTCTAATGGGTACTGGAATTACAGGCATCAGGTTATAATTTCATCTTTTATTTTCTTTTAATTCAATTTAATTTTTAAATTTTTTGAATTTGTTTGGTGAAGTGAAGTTTTGACTTGGTGTTTAATGTAATTTTGGGTTAGATTTTTCTGGGTATTGATTTTTGTTGGAAATTATCAACTGGGTATTGTGAATTAGCTGTGGATTATTTGTTTTTAAGTAATTATGATTGATTATGGCAAGACTTGAACTTTGTTAATTTTTTTTTAGTAGTTATGTTGCTTTGATTGTCATGGTGACGGTAACTTTCTTGGTATGTATATAGAATTGAGGGGCAGACCGGGTAGTGATGTAGATGGGATTTGATATCGATTAGTCGGGTAATTACCGAAGACTTTACCAACTTAGCTAGCTGGCATTCACCTCGAAATTGATTTTTGGAGGAGGGTTTGTGTTTGTCAATGTTTTTTGGCTTGGAAAGCATAGTGCTATCTCAGAATATAGAGTTACCTGACTTACCTCTGGTTTTAGCACTTAATTGGCATGTGGTATTTGAAGAAGTGCTACATTAGTTTGGTATATGATGTATGTCATGTATCTATTGCACCTCAAATGGGAAATTCTATTTGTGTACCTTGCTTAATTTCATTGCAAGGCGTTAGGAGGAGGCATCAATCACATAATATTTTTGTGCTATTTTGGTGTTTGGAAGAAATGGACCTTGCTTAATTTCATTGCAAGTTCACCTACTTAGAAATCGTGTAGTGATGGATATCATAAAATGAACATAAGGGTAAGTGTCATGGGCTCGTGGCCAAGTGGGAAAGGTGGGACCTTGGACCTCACAAGTCACAAGTCTAAGGAAATAGATTTCTAGTTCCTGCAATGATTTTCTTCGAACGTTTTTATGGTTTGAATTTGTTGTAGTACCATAGGATTAGCTACAAACTGACTTCTCATCTATCTTGAAGTGTAATTTGGTCTTTTTCAATGTCTAACTCTATGCTTATTAAAGAGTGTGAGTTTATTCCTAAACTTGCTTGTGTGATTGTAATGTACCACTGTGCTTGTGATTGATTTTACAATTTTCTAGAGTTAGTTAGTGGATCCTATCCTAACAATCAGCTTATTGTTGCTAAATCTGTTGTCCAGGCTGACGTTTGTCATGCTTACCAAATTTTGAAGAAAGGTGGTTTAAAAGATGAAAATATTATTGTTTTCATGTATGATGACATCGCTTATCATGAGGAGAATCCGAGACCCGGGGTCATCATCAATAATCCCTATGGAAGTGATGTCTACGCTGGAGTCCCAAAGGTTTTCTCTAGTTCACCCTTTCCATTGTCACTTCATGAATGTTATGAAGAATTTAATCTCATCTGCTTGATGTGGCATGGCAGGATTATACTGGGGAACATGTGACTGTCAACAATTTTTTGGCAGCGTTACTTGGTAACAAAGAAGCTATTACTGGTGGCAGTGGAAAGGTGGTGGATAGTGGCCCTAATGATCATATATTTATCTATTATTCGGACCATGGTGGTGCTGGTGTGCTCGGTTAGTATTTTGATCCTCATAGTTCTCTTGCAAGTCATACTTTTGTTGTTTGTGGAATCTGTTTGTTTTGAATGTTTATATTATAAATCTCTTACAATATCTTATATTGTACTACTATAGCTTTTTGAGTGTTGAGTATTTACCGGGAGTAACAGCATATTATGGAAATTATTGTGCGGCTAGTCTCTCTTGGCTTTTAGGTGCTTTCATGTTGTCTATTTGACTTATCCTTACAAAATCCTTCTTCATATAGTAGGTAGTACATTGGCAGGTTCTTAAATACATGTGGAATTGAACTCCTGCTGTTCTTATGCCATGCATTGTTTAGTACTAGATCAATGTGAGCACACAATGATTATTTAATTATATGAAGATTTATGGTTTTACAAGTGCAACCATTTGAAGATGAACATACCCCTAGGACTGTTACTTGTCATGTTCAATTTCATTACTACTCCATATTGTTGGATCCTCACCAATGTGCTCAATCAATTTTTATCATATTGTTTCTTGTGAAATAATGGATTTCAACACGTTGTGCTTGTTCAGGTATGCCTACAACTCCATTTCTCTATGCTGATGAGCTGATATATACATTGAAGAAAAAGCATGCTGCTGGAACCTATAAGAGCTTGGTGAGGTTATCCTCCCCCTGTCCACCACCTACCCCCCCCCCCGGTACACACACACACGGAAAAGAAAAAATGATGAACAGCTTTTCTTTTTCTTTCTTTATTTTTAGTATTTGTTGTAGGTTATTTGCAGGTTCCTAGATTCCCTATATACCCTTGTATCTTCCATCAATCTTATTTGGGTTCTCATGAACTTGGAATCTGTGAAATGTCAGGTATTTTATGTTGAAGCCTGTGAGTCTGGCAGCATTTTTGAGGGTCTTCTTCCTGAAGGACTTAACATTTATGCTACCACCGCGTCAAATGCTGTAGAGAGTAGTTGGGGGGCCTATTGTCCTGGTGATTATCCTAGCCCTCCTGCAGAGTATGATACATGTCTGGGTGATTTGTATAGTGCGGCTTGGATGGAAGACAGGTATTATTTACACTTGTATCTGTTATACAAAATCATGCATAATTATTAGTGTATACCACAGAATGACAGTTTCCTTCCCCTTCCCGGCCTCTTCAAATTTGGAGAATGGGGGTGGGCTGGTGGGGATCCTAACTTTATACTGATACTGATCAAGCATGAAACTGCTCCTGTATGCATAATTTGCCATGTTTAACAATCTAAGTTATGTAATAATGTAAAATATTATACATAATACAAGTGATCTTGAGACAACAATTTTGGACATCAATGTGAAATAGCTAATATTAGATAAATAGTGAAAATTATTTGTGTAATTCTTAGAATAAAATTATTTATTGAATAAACTTTGCTTGGGTCTAAATGAGAATATGTCAATAGACTAAGTTCAGAGTAAAATGACCCTAGGAAAATGAAGTGATTTGTGACAAGATTGAACTCACCCCGATTGAGGAAAGATGCATGAAGTAGGTTCACTATCACACACCAAAGCGTCACACGCCAAATGATAAAGCACACTAATGCCTAGCAAGTTGGCACAGAAGATCAATATTAGGGCTCTGTGTAATTCTTGGGTCATCTCAATGACGCATAACCTGATACTTCAGAAAACAATAGCTCATTACTCATAAGGGAAGTAGGGGATAGGGTACAGTCATCTTTAGCTGTGTGCATTAGCAGTTTCTAGATAGGTGAAGGAAGGTCTGAAATATCTTTGGAGGGTGGCTACTGTTCTGTTTTCATTCACCAGTTTGGCTCTCTGCGTGCAAGAACATGCTTAATGATCAAGACTGGAGGCTAAAAACCAATTAAATCAGAACAGCACACATAGCACACACCAGCGCAGATTGATTTACATTTGGACTTAAGTTTATGTCCTGTGAAGTATATTAGTATAGGTTTAATACTAGCTAGGGACATTTTGCAGGCAGTAGAAAATTCGTTCTCAAGGCTGAAGAAGGCACAATATTGCTTTGGACTCGGAGTGTCTATTTCGATAATGCTTCATGTAACATGATTTGACTGTTTGACCTATGCATAGTTGTATGTATGAAATGTTCAGCATTGTTTGCTGTTGATTTATTATTTAATCATTCCTACATGTTATTGTATGTATAGGAGTATATCATTCACATCTTGCCCTTTTTTCCCTATCATTCAATATCTAGACCCTTGTCTCAATAGTCATTACCATATCCCCATATTTCTGTTTCTGAAATTTTATTTCAAGCCTCATGTAAAAACTTTATGAGTGAATTTTTCTCTTTACCTTCCCTTCTCTTTCTTTTGGATGGTAGCAGTTGAATGTTGCAATATCATATTTAGATTTCTAATATATTATTCTGTGAACACTGAACAGTGAGAGCCACAACTTGCGGACCGAAACCTTGAAGCGCCAATATGAACTGGTGAGAACTCATGGGTTTTACAATTGGATTGGATTACCTTTTACATTGTACGTTTCAACTATCATAGGATTGAAGTGCACAGTTGTGTCTAGCTAAAGGGCAAGTTTGGTTTTTTCATCGTTATGAATTTAATATGGGGTGGGAGGGGTGTTGATACATGAATTTAAAAATACTTTTTACAGATTTTATTTCTAAGAATTTTAAGGAGTGATAATATTACATTTGACTTTCAAGAAAAATTTAAGGGTAATGTTATTCCTGGTCATTTCAGGTTAAGATGAGGACAGCCAATGGAGGCTCTTATTATGGCTCTCATGTCTTGCAGTTTGGTGATAAAGTGCTTAGCAAAGACAAACTCTACATGTACATGGGTACAAATCCTGCTAACGAGAATTTTACATTTGTTGATGATAACGCATTGCGCCCAAGGTCCTCTAAAGCTGTCAACCAGCGGGATGCTGATCTTGTCCACTTTTGGGAAAAGGTTCTTGTACTTTATATCTTTTACATACAAATTGTTCATTTCATATGATTTTTAGGTGGATACATGCTTAACTGGTACAGTAGTACTGTATTGTTGTGGGATAAAAGTACAAACAGAAAAGCCCTGAAAATTGGTTTGACCATGTATTAGTCTTTAGTCTTGTTAAAGTAGTATTTGTATTTCGATATTTATTATTAAAGCCTTAGAATTTTCGTATTTGACCTGTGTTCACTTGTTATTTGCTTCCTCTTTGTGACTTTCACAGTTTCGCAAGGCCCCTGAAGGCTCTGAAAAAAAGATGGAAGCCCAGGCACGGTTCGTGGAGGCAATGTCACATAGAGTTCACCTAGATCACAGCGTTAAACTTGTTGGCAAGCTATTGTTTGGAATTACGAAGGGTCCAGAGGTCCTTCAGACTGTCCGGCCTGCTGGGCAGCCCCTTGTTGATGACTGGAAATGTCTAAGAACACTGGTATGACCTCTGAAATACCTGTCTATTTTTCATCATTGAAAGCCTTTTATTTCCAATTTTCCATTGTTTAAAATCACTATCATCTACTTGAAATTGTTTTGATATTTTAATTCTTGTCAAGAACCTTTTACACCTTTGTTTGGATTGAAGGAAATGGAGGGAAAGGAAGGGAATAGAAATTGAGGGATAGATAATCTCTCATTTGGATAACAAATGAGGAAGGAAGGGAATTGGAGGGGAAAGAAATGGAGGGATCAAATTGCAAGAAATTAATCTCTCCAACAATGGAGAGATTTGGAAGAGAAACTCTTCATTCTTCTCCTCCCTCCCCTTCCCTTCCCACCCTTCTCCTCCCTCCCTTTCTTTTCCTCCCCCCAAATCTATCCAAACACACTGTTAGTTTAAGAAATTTGATTAAAGCCCCAACAACTGAAATCTAACTGGGGGAATTCCTTTAACATCATAATATACAGATTAAAACTTTTGAGATGCATTGCGGATCTCTATCTCAATATGGAATGAAGCACATGCGCTCCGTCGCAAATATTTGCAATGCTGGAATCACAGCCGATCAGATGGCTGAAGCATCAGCACAGGCTTGCCCTACCGTTCCTTCCAGTCCGTGGAGTTCTCTGCACAGGGGATTCAGTGCTTGATTGGTTGATCCTGCTGCATACTAACAAAGCCAGAGCAATGTACAAAATGATAGAAAGGATATGAATATGCGAAAATTCACATTTGAGGAACTGTCAATTTACCTCAAAGGTTCCTCTGTATCCCCACATTCCTTGTAAAAGCATTTCCTGTAAATATACCGTGCCTGCTTACTGAATTTTATTTGGAATGTAAAAGCAGTGTTGTTAATGTTGAAATTCATCTAATCACATATCCTTTAAGGGGGTGTTTGGTTCGGAAAATGGAAATGGAGTGGAAAGGAAACAAATAAGAGAGGGGGAAATGAATCATTTAGTTATTACCTTTTCATTTGTTTGGCTTAACCATGGAAAAGTTATTTGTTAAGAGGAAAGTAAGGGTATTTGTTACCCCAAATTATTGAGAGGTAACAAATGAGGGGTAACCATTACCCTTAGGTAATGGTAATTGTTACCATGCCTTCAAACCGAACACACGGTAACGATATCGGTTTAATCGAATACGTTTCCAATCCAAAAAATATACTAACCAAACGCCCCCTAAGTCTTGATACATATTGAAACACTAAAGAGTGAACCTTTATGCGAGTTATCCACTCGACCCTACCTTTGGCGCATAACTCATTCCCACAAAGAGGAGAGTAAAATCCCTTTCTAAGCTAGGTCATTTTTGGGCATGTCAGTTTCATGTTTCATTAAGCTTTGTTTATGTTTTAGATAAAGTTCTAGTCATTTACAGTATGTTTGGATAAATAAAGGGGAAGGAAAAGAAGGGGAGGGAGGAGAAGAGGAGGGGAGAGAAAGGGAGGGGAGGGAAGAATGGTGAGTTTTCCTTCCAAATTTTTCCATTGTTGAAGGGATCAATTTTCTACAATTTAATTCCTCCATTTCTCTCCCTTCCAATTCTCTTCCTTCCTCATTTGTTATCCAAATGAAAAATACTCCATCTCTCCATTTCCCTTCCCTTTCTTTCCCTCCATTTCCTTCATCCAAACACACCGTTAGGTAGGGTCTGTTTTGTAATTGAAATTGATTTGGCTGCCATGGAGGGAAGGGAGTGAGGGGGTTTGTGGTCCATTCCACTATGAGGTATGATTGTAGACTACATCAAATTAGATTAGATATTCTTATTTTCATTTGCTTATTGATGTACTTCATGCATATATCTTTAATTCCACATTTGCAAAAACTATGGAAAACTAAAATAAAAAATAAAAATTAATTAGTTTAGAAGGTTTTCTCTTATATATTACATACGTACTCATGTACAACGAAGGTTAAAGATCTATCAGCTCTAATAATCTGATCAAATTTGACCAAATATTTCAGTCTGACTAGACTGAACTCTAGAAAATGACCATCTTCCATAACACCTTAATTCAAATGAGAAGAACAAAATTTGAATATGAAGGAAAAAATCTCTCTATTTTTGAGGACCTGTTATAGTTTACCTTATTTCCATTCAATTCAGAAAATTTTAGATAAGATAATTTAAAAATGGAAAAAGATATATAAGAAGCTAAAAGTGGAAAAAATAGACAATAAACAAACATTTATTACACTAATTTGCTCGAGAATTGTCGATAAAATTTCCGACTTAATACTAAAAAAAGGAAGTATAGTAGGGCTGCATATAGCGTTACACTTTAAAAATAAGTTCAGATAGGAGATAAGATGATAATGGTTATTCAAGTTCAAATTACAAATAAAATAAGTTTTAATAAATTCACATAAATTTAGGGGTTTTTTTTTTTTTTTTTTGTGTTTAGAGAGCCACTAGGGCGGGGGTGATGAGAATTGATCTCAGGATCTCCTGGAAATCGAGAAAGAAGTTCTAACCACTTGAGCTATCCCTTACTCTCTCATATAAATTTAGGTAAGTTTAAAGAAAATATTATATAAAATAAGTGAAAATCAGGTAAATGGAACACAGACTGAAAGTTCGATACACATATTATTCATATGGTCAAAATAAATTAATTTTAAACATAAATGATTTATATAAAATAAAAAAATTAACAATGTATGACCTAGTTATATTCATCTCAATGTAATTTTTCAAGTTTTTAACTTTTTATAATTTTCACTAATACAAAGTCAGAGATGTTATGATCAAAGATATGTGTTGGAGATGGTTTTATTTATTAAATTAAAAAATTGTATTATAGGTCGTGAAAAGTCAAACGAGTCAAAATTTAAAACACCAAAGGTTAATAAAAAAGTAACATAGACTTAATGAGAATTGAGAGAACAGACACAATATAATTAGGGAGAGTAAAGAGAAGGCAAAAGTGTGTTGCAGTAAACACGATCCCAACACTTTTTCTATTTTAGTCTTACGATACTTGGAAAAAGAAAAACTTACACCTCGTTCAATACTATTAAGAATTAGAATTAGACAATTGGAGAAGGCTGGTCTCGAGACCAAGTATATTATTCATGCACCCTCGCCCAAACGACAGCGTTTCACTCTATGAAACGTAAATAAGAGCTTACGTGACGTGACGTTACCAAGCAATGTGTTGTCAAATCAGGTATAAATACCTGTTTTAAAATATAAAAAAAAAAACCCAATATTCAATTTACTACACCGCCATAACATTTTCTCTCTCTAACCACAACTTTCTCATCACTATAATTCCTCTAAAACCTCCATAAACATTCTCCAAAAGCTTAGAAATCACAAAATTCATACGTAATCATGGATATTAGAGAAGAAATTTGATGGCGATAACACAGTTTCTGGAAATTAGCGTAAAAAATCAAGGTTATTTTCAATTTTTCGCTAATTTGAGCAACGAATTTCACTCTAAAATGTAAAATTATGTCCAATTGCACTCTAGATTTTGTTAATTCACCATTTTCTCTCTCTAATCGTCAATTTCACTAACTATTAGTTCAATTTTAGTTGATTTATTTAGATTTATGTACATTTAAAATGTTGTTTGGTTTATTTGAATTTTTGTACATCTATCTTGTGCAGAGGAGCACGAATTTCGTCTTCAATGCCTCAATCAAAGACCAAAAATGACAAGATTAAAAGGTCGTAAGTTATTTCTACATGATTTTATGTTTGGTTCAATAAAAATTAGGGAACAATTGAAACCTTAACTTTTTTTTAATTTCAGAGAGAAAAAAGCAAATTCACAGTGAGAGAGCAGAGAATTGTAAGTGTGTTTCAATTATTTTGTCGTACAAAATTAGTAGAATTATATGAAAGCTAAATGTTCATTTTATGATAACTAAATGTTCATTTTTGTATCTTACAAATAGAGATGACCATGATGATGTACCTCTTATTAATAAACTTAAAAACAAGCGCGAAAATCCTTCCCATATAATAGATCTAGCCCTATTAAATTATATCAGATCAATTGAACAGCCAAGTAATTAAGTTATATAATGTTCATTTTGATATTGGAAAATATTCAATTTAATTTAAGAAAAAATCAGAGAAAATATTGATGTTCATTCTCATTGTTGATGATGTTCATTCTCATAGTTGATGATGTTCTTTTGGTTTGAAAGCATTTTCAATTACTTTTAGTACCTTTTTAATATGATGCTCAAAATAAATATAGTTAATGTTCATTTTCTTATAGTACCTTGTTTGGTGTTAAATGATGCTCAATTACTTTTAGTACCTTGTTAATATGATGTTCAAAATAAAAATAGTTAATGTTTATTTTCTTATAGTACCTTGTTTGGTATTGAATGATGCTCAGTACCTTGTTCATATGATATTCAAAATAAAAATAGTTGATATGATACTAAATAACTTATAGTACATTGTATGGTGTTGAATGATGTCGTGTTGGAGATGTAGGAGAGGGTGTTTGCCCTTGGAGTTGGTGGAGGGGACACCATGGATGGAGTAGGTGGTAAATCTGGTTGTAGGAGAGGGTGTTTGTTATTTGAACTATGTTCATTAGCAAAAAATCAGAAGTTCATTTTTAAAGAGTGAGGGGACTTCAAAATGATGTGGAAGATAATGATCATCATTATCTTCAAAATGAACTGCTGAAAAAAATAATTTGTTCATTTTCATAGTTGTGCAAGTTCATTTTGTTTTCAAAGCATGTTCAATTTACTAAATCAAATAATGAAACAATTAAAAATGTTATAAGATATTCAATGTTAAAACAAAATGTTTATTTGTATATCTATTCAATCTTTATTAAAACTATGCTTATTAATTTAATATCAAATGATCATTTTTTTTTAAATAGGGAAGTGACTTCAAAATACAATAACAAGTTGAATATATATGCAAACTTCAACAAGAAAATGTACTGTTGTAGGAACATTAAGGTATCAAATTGTTAATGGATGTTCATAATAATCAATGTAGATGTTCATTTTCCTATTATGCTCATGAAATGATAAAAGTATTCAATGTGTGTTCATTTGGTATTAGAAAGATTTTTTTTTTTTTGTTCATTTTCATGCATATAAACTGATGTTCATTTTCATAAAAATGATACAGTCTACTGTACACCAATAAATAAATTTTCAATAGCATAGATATTTATTTTCTATTTATTACTACAGTATTTAAGAATATTTTATTGGTGTTCATGTTGAATATTATTGAATGTTAATGGTTGTTCATTATTATAAAATAAAATTTAAAAAAAAAAAGAAAGAAAAAAAAAAGAGCACTATATATATATATATATGATCCACTAATCACAAATACATAGATGTTCATTTCCATATATTGGATGTTCAAAATCATAAAATTGGATATTCATTTTTGTATTATGCTTATAAAAGTATTCACTGTGGGTTCGTTTAGTATTAGAAATATTTTTTGTTCATTTTCATGTAAATTGATGTTCATTTATATATAAAATAGAGTTCTATGATAGATAAAAGAAATTATATGGTCCATTAAACACTAATAAATAGAGGTTCATTTTCATATGTTGGATGTTCATTTTTCTTTGATTTACTATTTAAAAGTATTTTATTGGCGTTCAAATTGGATATAATTAGGAGTTCAAAATTTTAAAAGTGGATGTTCATTTTCATATTATATATGCTCATAAAAGTATTCAATGTCTGTTAATTTAATATCAAAATTTTATTTTTGTTCAGTTTTATATAAAAAGGATGTTCATTTCATTAAAATTAGGATCCAACAAATTTTGTCCAACCAATGTAACAGACCCACACCAATAAATGTTCATTTCTCATAACTTGGATGTTCATTTCATCAATAATTTCCTATTTAAGAATATTTGATTGATGTTTAGTTTCATATTCATAAATGTGTTTAAATTCATATTAGTTAAAGTTATTGTAAAGTCCTCAAATTTTTCATTGTAATAAGTGTTTATAATTTTATATGTAAATGTTCATTTTCTTATTATGTTCATAAACTTAAAACAAAAATATATAAAACATACAATTTATTGCTATTTGTTTTTGTGATCATTTGTATTCATTTTCCTATCACTTAATGTTTATTTATTTAGTATTACATGTTCAATACAGACCATGTAATATTTTTATAAATATGAAAAACATATAAATTGCCCAATTCAAAACATATACTCCGTAATATTCAATCAAAAAAGCAAAAAAATTTAAATCATTCAATTAAAAAAAAAACCGATCATTTATATTATACAAAATAAATAAATACAAAAGAAAATTAAAAATTAATATAAACTCAAATTCATCCATTAATTATCAAAGAATTTAAGGTGAAGAATCAACTTTTAATTCCATTCATATACACCATCGGAAATCACATTTTCAAAGATGAAAAATCAAAATATAGAAGATGACCATAAGAGAGAAAAATAGAAAAGAAAAGGGAAGAGAATGATAATTGAAAAACTTTAAGTTAATTGAAAATAGAATTTATCCAACTGAATGAAAACAAAATTACCCAACTGAATTTCTGAGTGATGAGCAGAATTTAATTAGATGTTAAAAAACTACAAAACGGCGCGCTTAAAGGAAGGAGCACCATATACGACGCCGTTATAGTGGAGGACCAACCATCCACTGTAACGGCGTTATAGTGGAGGACCACCGTTATAATTGCTGGTCTTGAGTCTAGGTAAAAATTTGCGAGGATTAGAGGCAGAAAATGAGTCGATTGATTCGAGGCAAGTCCATTTTGTTCGTATCATGTTATGTTAAAGAGACTCTTGGATTAGGTATCAGTAACTACGGTTAGTAAATATGATTGCAGGTTGTGCCTTGTGTCAGGCCCACGTGCTTTAATATTAGCTAGGCCTGACCAAAGAGTTATGTGTCGTGTCATACCATATATGCTACCTGTTTCGGGGTTTTCTGATGTCCTGCGGGAGAGTTACAATTCCGAGACTGGAACCGGACGTCTGTACCTGCAAAATAACGGAGACTCCTGGGAGCTCCGCCTCCAACGGTCAAGTTAGTACCTGATTAAGGAGTAATTAACGCGGAAATTAAAGTAATAAGGTCTCTCTAGGTGAGAGTGTTTAATGTAGGTAATCTGCTTTGTTAGCGAGATCAGCCGGTTATTAGTGTGTTCCGTAATGTTTCTGTTCTGTTCTGTTCCCCCCCTTAATGAGGATTAAGGGAGGTATTTATAACCTTGGGAAACGTGCCCATCCTAGGTTTAGGTAAACCTAGGGCCGATTGGGCTTCCCTCGGAAGTTGGGCCTGGGTGGCCGGTTTTCCCATTTGGCATGGGTGGACACGTGGCGTGTCTCAATTGGTCCGTAGAGGACGTATCTGTGATTGACACGTGGCAGGCTCCTATTGGCCTACGTGGAGGACACGTGGCGGAACCTGGTTGGTCCACTTGTTAGACGGTGATTGGTGGATAAAAATCCCCTAATCATTTGCCCCTCACAGGTGGCACGTGACTGGTCACGTGTCACCTGTGACAGGTGCCGCACGGTGACAGGCGACGGCCTGCTACAGGTGTCACCTTGCAAATGGCCGAGAGATTTTCCCGCCCAAATTTTGAATTTGGAAGCGACCCTTCGCCTTCTCACTTTGCCTATATAAGGAAGTGCTGACTTCGGTCATTTTCACATTTGAGAACTTTGCGAGAACATTCGGACCCCTGAACTTGCTCTGACATTTCGGACCTTTTCTGCCTACCGCCTGTTCTGACAAGCCGACTGCACAGGATTTTCAGAACTTCATCAACCGTCACTCGTTCAGGTAACTGTCAGTTCTCTTACTCTTAATTTTTCTTTTTATTTTTTTGAAATGGCACCACGGAAGCACACGACACGACCTAAGTTAGTGATCAGCCGGTCACCGGGGACGGCTGAATCTAGGACTAGGAGTGCCGCCTGCCCTTTTCTGGACCCATCTTTGCCCTTTATACAAAGTCCGACTGTATCTGTGTCTATGCAGAACGTGATGGCCAGAACAAAAAAGACTGCTATGATCTCAAACTCGGACGGCTCCTCCCAAAGGTTGCTCATTAGTGAAACATCTGACCAGGCGCCAGATGTAGAAGTGAAACGAGGCGGCTGCCAAGCCGACAGTTCTGAGAGAGGGTCAAGGTGGTCCCTTCCCATTTCACCGTTGATATGTCTAATTTTCCTCCTGCTCCTTCTAAGGGAGAGGAGGCGGGCCCCTCTGGGAGAGGGGAGGAGTCGTCCTCTTCGGACTCGTCAGAGGACGAGTCCGAGTCCAGCTCTTCTGGCCACGCTTCTCCAGGCTCAGAAGAAAGAAACAGTTGCCTACAAGAGGCGAGGCTTTCTCATGCAGTTGAGAAGGGGGGCAATTGGGCGGAGCCGTCCGCCTCTTACAGAGAGGAAAACACCCCCTACTACTGCACGGTACCCCGGGGCCGGATCGCAGCCATGCAAGACAAAGTGGAGAGCTTTATAGCTAACCACAGAATGGGCCCCGAATTTTTACTGTTCGTGCCGGATCCAGAAGACACTGTCGTCTGGCCGGCTGGTACCAGCTATGATGACGGCTGCTTTGGCTGCTATGTGGCGGCCATCAAAGCTGGACTGCGCTTCCCATTACATCCGGCTGTTCAGCGGATTTTAGATGGGTATGATTTGGGATTATGGC